AAAAAATTGTGACATACAATTCTATATTAGATGTCGGAAACAAAAATTTACTGTTTACATTTTGGAACTTACCCTAAAAATCTTTGACTATGATACCTTGGATTTCAAAATTGTCAATCAGTCAATCGCGATTATTAGTTGATCAGGGAACTAAATAATGCAAATGCATTGAATAATTTGTGCCATCTTTTCTTCAGCCCACCGACAGATTAACCTTTTTTAAATTTCTCATGTCTAAGCAATGCAATTTGCTGACATTAATTAGTGATAATGATGTAACATAAATATGGGTAAAAAAAATATTACTTTATATTAGTGCATACATGCACTTGAGCTTCTCCTTACACTTCCAATTGGTTTTAGATTAAAACTCACGTTTTAATATGATATCCATGGGCGGAACTACTCCCAAAGCTAAGATAGGCTGTAACCCAAGGAGATTTTGGGGATAAAAAATCAAACATATATATAATTAACTTGTTTTATATATAGCCCAATATGTACTAACATATTAAAGTTTATAAAAAAAAATCGAAGTTTTTATGAATTTAGTTGCAAGAATCAATAAACATACATATTAAAATAGGTACACCTTCAATTACGTCGTTGAACATATTTTCATTTTGATAATATGTGTTTTTTGGTTGCATTTAATATGTATTTGTTTTAAGTTAAAGTTTTTTTTTTTTTGGAAGTTAAAGCTTATTGGAAATTAACATTTAGCTTTGCACTCAAGGTCCTAAGTTCGATTTCCCCCTCATCCAATATTGCTTATATAAGAAGGAAAAAAACTTATTGGAAGTTAGTCAATTGAACTATGAACTATGAACTAGTGTGTATTTTTTTAAACCAAAAAAAATAAAAATACACACAATAATCTAAACTACAAGGGGTATAGGGGTTTCTCACACACACAAACACTACCAAGGTACCATGGAGATTCAAACCTAAGACCAATGGTTTGAAAGTCAAGGCCATTATCTATTGGGCTAGACCCCATTGGCGAATTAGTGTGGTTTATATAATTTAATGTATACTTTTACTTTTAGAAAGACTATAGAATCTGCAAGCAAAAAAAAAATTGATAATTAAATTTTAAGCTGATAACTTTAGCTAGCCCACCCATGAAAACATTTCTGGTTCTGCCCTATCAGAATATATTATCCCCGTGTTGAAACTTAACAAATCAATTTAATTGGTTCCAGTAATATCTTTGGTATATATAGTAAAATTCTTTACATTTTCTATTATCTTAAAATTGCATGATGTGGTTAATGAGGTACATCTCAGTTGGTTAAACTTTTTCACCTCCACCCATGTGATTTGGGCAGAGATTCGAAATCCTTAGACACCCAATGAATATTTGTGTAAACCCTCCTCCTTCAATCGCTTGTACTAAAAAATAAATTGCAGGATGTGACTCTCAACATTTAATATGATTAATATTGTTATTGCTGGAATCCATTATTAAGCACTATTCAAAACATAAATTAAAGATGGAGAGCTTTAGACCACCGAAAAGATTTGCTTGCAAGGTAAGCCATGCTTGATTTAATTAATTAATCATTGCCACTAATAGCATTGTTTAATGTACAGCATTAGCTTAAACATTTTCTCAGAATTTAGGGCTCGTTTGGCAAAGGATTTAGAAACTATTTCTAATATTGAAAAATAATATAAATATTACTCATAAATAAATCCTCATATGCCATTTCCATGCAGTTGATTATTCACATTTAATTTGAACTGATTTTTCCTATAAAACTAAATAAAATTTGAACTGATTTTGTGGGAAAACATTACCATTATGATCATTTTGGTTGTTCTTTAAGCCATCATTTTTCCTTTTCTTTTTCTTTTGCCTTTTTGTTACGTTAGAATTTAATTAGAGCTTTATTTATTTAAAAAGCTCACGGGATTTACGCCGCAAATTCAAAGATTTGAGGAGGTCGCAGACCCGCAGAAAGCCGGCAGCGAAAAGCGGTCGTGCCCACTACCCTTTGCCACCGGCATAGGCTTCTCTCCGTAACTAACGCTAAACACGTGGCCACGTCTCACATAATTTCATTATTTTTCTTTCATTTGCATTTGACTTGTCTTGTCCAGCTTTTCTTCTTCTTCTTTTTCTATGGTAATTTTCTTTTTTACATATATTTTTTTTTCCCCCAAATAGCAGGTCTCCTTTTGATAATTTGATGGACGCGTGTGTAATTCTAGACTATTACACGTCTTGAAGGTAATTTGCAAAATTCTAGGCTTTTGGTAATTTGACAAGAAAATATTGTGGTTGTAGGGAAAGGTAGTTAGGAGTACCTTTCGATTTATGTCATTTAGATTTAACATACGGAATGCGACGATTCACGCTAAATTATAGGTGATAAATCATGTTTTTAACACTAAATTAACTATTAGTTTAATAATATTTCTTTTACCAATGCTGAAAGATCTTCCAAAATCGATTAAAAACAAGCCATGATCTTTTAAGGCCGTCTAGGTATCCAATTAAATAATACAAAAACATCAAGCCTAAGTAGTCCGATTTTAGTGAATTATCTATCTATATATATAAAGCAAAATGCAGAGATTAATACAAATATTAAGAATTGAAATTATTAATTAAATGAGGATAATATGGTAAATTTACATTTTTTTCATATTAAAAAAATTAAATTAAAAAAAAAAGATAATGAATCATATTTTTATGGAAAACAACTACCCATTATCTTTTTTAATTCTAAAATAAAATAAAATTTAAAAAAAAAAAAAAAAAATTGATGCTTTACTATTTTTTTTTGGGGGGTACTTATATCAAATTTAAAAGCTATTCACAAGTATACGCAGGGAAGTTTGGCTTTTAGAGTTGAAAAATATCAAGCCTCAATATCCTCAAGTTTTGTATGATATCATGAGTTTTTTTTGTTCATTGTGATTTTTAGAGTTGAAAGTTTTCAATTACTTTTTTCAAACTTCTGTACACGTGATGCTTTTGGAATTTTTTTCATGGATTATGAGTTGGCAGCTTAATATAGATTGTGCAATCAATATTGTCGACACAAATCTAGCAAAAAATAAATATAGAAAATTATATGGGTCATATGAAAAAAAATATTATCCCAACAAAACTATAGGTAAAAAATATTGAGATATTTAGTCATATATTTATTCTTAGCATTAAAACTATAAATAAATCATACACAATTTAATTTCTATAAACAAACCCAAAAAGAACCCAAAAAATGATAGTTGGCCATATTGAATTTAATTTTGATTATTAAATTATTTTGATGCCCTATTGAGTGTTTTGATTTTTTTTTAATGAGATTTTGGGGTTGTGTTTGTTTTAAGAAATTAGTGGCAGTTTTGTAATTTCAAAGAAGTTAAAAGCCTTTTTGTTATGTTATAAATGGATTTTGGGTGTGTTTTTAAAGTCCATTTCATATAGGGTTTTTAAAAAAAAAATTCGGCTCCTATATTGGGTATAATAGTGAATCTCCCAAAAATATTATTACTTAAGCTTACATCTCAAAATTGAATTATATACGTATTCTTAGCATTAAAACTATAAATAAATCATACACAATTTAATTTCTATAAACAAACCCAAAAAGAACCCAAAAAATGATAGTTGGCCATATTGAATTTAATTTTGATTATTAAATTATTTTGATGCCCTATTGAGTGTTTTGATTTTTTTTTAATGAGATTTTGGGGTTGTGTTTGTTTTAAGAAATTAGTGGCAGTTTTGTAATTTCAAAGAAGTTAAAAGCCTTTTTGTTATGTTATAAATGGATTTTGGGTGTGTTTTTAAAGTCCATTTCATATAGGGTTTTTTAAAAAAAAATTCGGCTCCTATATTGGGTATAATAGTGAATCTCCCAAAAATATTATTACTTAAGCTTACATCTCAAAATTGAATTATATACGTGTCAATAAACCAACAAATATCTTCTCACAATTTTTGAACACGATACGCAACTGTTGAGCTTTCTTCATCTAGGCTGTTGGAGTCAGAGTTGTCTTCTTCAAATGCTTTCTTTTTTATTGACTTTTTTGGGTCTAGGTGCCCACGAAGTTTTGCTTTGTAATTTGATTTTCCGCATAAAAAAACCACAAATTTTCGCATGACTCATTCGCGCTTACGTTTAAACTTGACAATTATTCAAACTAAAAAAACAAAAAAAAGAAGAAGAAACCTTTGACAATGACACCACAATAATAATAACAATATTAACGACCATAATGAAAAACAAAATTCCCATATAAAGAAAAATTATAAGATTAAAGAAAAGTTTGCTTCTATGACTATGAGACAGATCAGGGGGATCAGAAGCAGCCATGGATCTGTCCATTCTAAACCCACCAAAGAAATATTCGCTATAAAATTTATTAACCAACAAATAAAACTATTTATGAACATTTTTTTTTGGTAGGTTAGATTATTAATTCATATATTACTAAAATTTAATTATGCCTTCACCGTCTCTCAACCATATATATCCCATTCATTCCTATCTTATTATTAGTCATAACCTTCGGTCGGCTCAACAGCACAAACATGAAACATAAATAATATATACACACACAGAAAAATGTTTAGCCTGTTAAACAATTCTTGTTAGAGTCTAAAATGTTACATTATCATATTACAAATCTCAACTAATTACAATTTGTATCTACTTGGTTGGAGTAGTCTCAAGTTCACGAGTAACTTGTTGGAGTAACGATCACACAGTCGCGTAGTGTTATAAATATCCACTCATAATATAACATGTGTATCGATATGTTAAGTCTAAGTCTATAACATATCAATTATGTCGACTACCCACCTATATAAAAAAGTCGTCGTCTTAAAATGTATCAAAATTTCAGAACGCGGCAACATAACTTAGTCAAAAGTGGGCACAGCCGCACAGTACTTGTGTAGCTACCAGCATTCAACACATGTTTGAATGACAATAAAACCCTTCGTAGTTGGAAAGGAAAGTGTGGCGTATGTCAAGTGACCTTCCATAATATCGATGAGACATGCATAACGAAACATTAATTGTCAATTAGGATTTAGTTGCATACCACATTATATGTTCTTGAAGACATGCATCCAAGTTCCAACAAACAACCACGTTGTCTTTAATTTCTTTAATTTCTAATTGATTGAGTATTTCCTCATAAAGGATCCGCCTTTAGGGGCTGTAACTTGGTCTTAAAGCTTATTTTGTTTTGGCTCGAAAAAAAAAAAAGCTGGAACCTTTTTGGATTTTTGTTGGGTTTTTATATTACTATTTTCAATTACTTGGACTCTGTGAGTGTTTGTGTTGTGTGTCACTTCCCTCTTCTCTCATCTTTTGTGGTCGTGGTCTTCAAGTAATCTGAAAACTTCTTTTTCTCTCACCATTGGGTCCAAGATTTCATAAGGGTAGTTCTTAAAAACCGCCATTGATGGTCTTATGAAGCTTCTCTGCTACAACTTTTTGAGGCTTCAATGTTTCTTCTGAAGCAGAGGACATCATCACAGATCTGCCATGGAAGACCATAGTGCAAAGCTTGTGCTAGCAGCACTTCTTCTCTCACTTGTTTCAGTTGTTCTCAGTGCCACAGACCCTAATGACTTGGCTATTCTCAACCAGTTCAGAAAAAACATGGAGAACCCAGAGCTCTTGAAGTGGCCTGAGAATGGTGATGACCCATGTGGGGATAAATGGGAGCATGTGTTCTGTACTGATCAGAGGGTGTCTCAGATTCAGGTTCAAAATCTGGGCTTGAAGGGTCCTCTGCCTCAGAACTTCAACCAGCTCACTGAGCTCACCAACATAGGCCTCCAGAGGAACAACTTTAGTGGGCCATTACCATCTCTCAAAGGGCTGTCAAAGCTGCGGTATGCTTATTTGGATTTCAATGATTTCAGTTCAATTCCTGTTGACTTCTTTGATGGCCTTGATGCTTTGGAAGTTTTGGCCTTGGATGGCAATAATTTGAATGCTACTTCAGGGTGGACATTTCCTCCTCAGTTGGCAAACTCAGCACAATTGCAGAATATTTCTTGTATGAGTTGCAATTTGGTTGGTCGATTGCCTGATTTTCTTGGGAACTTGTCCTCTCTGACAGTTTTGCAACTCTCAGGCAATGGCTTAACTGGTGGAATTCCTGGAAGTTTTACTGGCCTGAATTTGCAGATACTTTGGTTGAACAATCCAACAGGTCCTGGCTTGAGTGGTCCAATTGATATTCTGACCACAATGTTACAGCTGAACAGTGTGTGGCTTCATGGGAATCAGTTCACAGGAACAATCCCAGAAAGCATTGGTAATTTAACTTCTTTGAAGGATCTTAATCTCAATCAAAACCAACTTGTTGGTCTTGTTCCTGATAGCTTGGCCAATTTGGCACTTGACAGTTTGAATTTGAACAATAACCATCTGATGGGTCCAATCCCAAAATTTAAAGCACATAATGTGACTTTTACTTCAAATTCATTTTGTCAATCCACTCCGGGGCTTCCTTGCGCCCCAGAGGTTATGGCACTTGTAGAGTTCCTTGATGGGTTGAATTACCCTTCCATACTTGTTTCTAAATGGTCTGGTAATGATCCTTGTGGTTCATGGTTGGGCGTTAGTTGTGGCAACAATGGAAAGGTCTCTGTTATAAATCTTCCGAAGTACAATCTGAATGGTACATTGAGTCCTTCAGTTGCTAAGTTAGATTCTCTTGTTCAAATTAGGCTTCAGAATAACAACTTGAGGGGTTCAGTTCCTGAAAACTGGACTAGCTTGAAATCCCTTACTGAGTTGGATCTTAGTGGGAACAATATTTCCCCTCCATTGCCAAAATTCAGTAAAACTGTCAACGTTGTCGTTGATGACAATCCTTTATTTCATGGTAATCCATCTGCGGCGGCAGCAGCACCAGAGAATAGCCCTTCCTCAGCAAACAATGCATCTTCCTCATCCACAGGCTCAGGTTCTCATGTCAATGGTACCTCTCAATCAACCCAACCAAAAGGATCGAAACGGGCCAGCATAGTTTTAATTGTAGCCCCTGTCACAAGTGTTGCTGTTATTGCTGCGTTGCTTGTAATTCCTTTATCCATGTACTATTGTAAGAAGAGAAGAGATGCCTTCGAGACTACAAGTTCCCTTGTAATTCACCCAAGAGATCCATCTGATTCAGATAATATGGTTAAGGTTGTTGTTGCTAGTAATACCAATGGAAGCGCTTCAACCGTAACAGGGAGTGGTTCTGCAAGCAGAAACAGCAGTGGGATAGGTGAGTCTCATGTTATTGAAGCTGGAAATCTCATCATATCAGTTCAAGTTCTTCGGAACGTGACAAAGAATTTTGCCCCAGAAAATGAGCTTGGCCGTGGTGGATTTGGGGTGGTTTATAAGGGAGAATTGGATGATGGGACAAAAATAGCAGTGAAAAGGATGGAGGCGGGCGTGATTTGCAACAAAGCCTTGGATGAATTCCAGGCTGAAATTGCAGTTCTTTCAAAGGTCCGGCACCGTCATTTGGTATCACTTTTGGGTTATTGCATTGAAGGAAATGAGAGAATGCTTGTCTATGAATATATGCCTCAAGGGGCTCTAAGCAGGCATCTTTTCCATTGGAAAACCTTCGAAGTAGAGCCTCTCTCTTGGAAGAGGAGGTTAAATATTGCCTTGGATGTTGCTAGGGGGATGGAGTATCTTCACAATCTTGCTCACAAAAGCTTCATACACAGAGATCTTAAATCATCAAATATCTTACTTGGTGACGATTTTAGAGCAAAAGTATCAGATTTCGGATTGGTGAAACTGGCTCCTGATGGTGAAAAATCTGTTGTGACCAGGCTTGCTGGGACTTTTGGTTACTTAGCACCAGAGTATGCCGGTAAGCTTTCTAAGACCTTTCCAACTTATTACAGATTGTTTAAATTTCATATACATAGCTGACCCCTGTTAGCTTATAGGCATTGAGTTTAGCAGCATTGCACACAGCATTTAAGAGGAATTAATATGGATTTAATCATGTTCTTAGACCGGTTAGACTATTACAAGAGCATCTATCATATCCTGAACATATATGAAAATCAGATAGTTTTCATAATTCTGCAGCATGTACATCTTTGTTTTCTGTTATCTTTCTTTGATTCTTGTGAATGATCCTACTAACTCTCTCTCTAACTCTCTCTCTCTCTCTCTCTCATGCTGATTGATTCAGTGACGGGAAAAATTACAACCAAAGCAGATGTCTTCAGTTTTGGTGTTGTGTTAATGGAACTATTAACTGGAATGATGGCACTGGATGAGGATAGGCCTGAAGAAAGCCAGTACTTGGCTGCATGGTTCTGGCACATAAAATCGAATAGGGAGAAACTCATGGCCGCCATTGACCCGGCCCTTGACAAAAAAGAAGAAACATTTGAGAGCATCGCCACAATTGCAGAGCTAGCTGGGCACTGCACTGCAAGGGAACCCAGCCAAAGACCAGATATGGGCCATGCTGTGAATGTGTTGTCCCCGCTTGTTGAAAAATGGAAACCGTTAGATGACGAGAATGAGGAATACTCTGGGATAGATTACAGCCTTCCCCTTACCCAGATGGTGAAGGGTTGGCAGGAAGCCGAAGGAAAGGACTCCAGTTATCTGGACCTAGAAGACAGCAAGGGCAGTATCCCAGCAAGGCCAACAGGGTTTGCAGAGTCTTTTACTTCTGCTGATGGCCGGTAAAGAAGTGTTTTTTCTGTTGCTTTTGTGTTTCATTTCACCTTCCTTTTTAGAGGTTGTTTTCCTTCTTTGGTAGGTGTAGATAGTATTGTTGTGTTCTCTGCTTGGGAATCAATGTCAATATGTTTTTGTGTTGTTGGTTTTGTGCTGGCTTGAGTTGAAGATTTCAGTAGAGATCTCAAGTGTAAGCTATGATACTTTCTGCATTAAGATTTTACATGCTAGTGGTGTAGATAAAAGCAGTTATTAATGAGAACTGGTTCCCAATTACTCTTCAAGCGCGCTTTATACTCCACATCTGAGTTTCATAAGAATGTTTGCATTCTTTTGGCAAAGGCTGAATAACTTATATGGACATTGCTTCCCTGGAAGGAGGCATTCCTATTTTTTACAAATCACATCAAAAACACAAAAAAGACACATGTCAAACTGTGATTGGTAAGAAAGTAGGGAGTCCTACTTTCAGGAGGGAGAAGTATTTTCCAAGTTATATATGGCCTGAACCAGTTTGAGGTTGATGAAAAGGGAGCTTCTTGTCATCCCATTTTAAAACTAGTTCTCAGGTTGGTGTTCTCACCAAACAAATTTTTGTTGACTTATCAACAATTACAAGCCGGGAAGGAATAAATATAATCATACAGGGTCACATTGGTTCATTTGAGAATAAGATGAAGAAAAATTTGCTTATAATAGTTTTGTGTTGACATATTGGTTTGATCAAATTTAAATTATCAATTAAATGAGGATAATATGGTAAATTCACACTTTTTCATATTTAAAAAAAATTAAAATTAAAAGCAAAATCAGATCATGAATCCTATTTTTATGAAAAACTAGCCTCTCCGCATGCGCTTCCGTGCTGCGAGAGACTTTTTATAAATTAAAAAAAATTATTTTAGAATTAAAAAAAGATAATGGGTAGTTGTGTTCCTTAGAAGGAGGATCCATTATCTGATTTTTCTTTTAATTTTAAATTTTTTTAATATGAAAAAGTGTGAATTTACCATATTATCCTTATTTAATTGATAATTTCAATTCTTAATGTTTGAATTAACCAAGGGTAAGGGCATTTTTTGGTATTTTGAATGTTACACCATTCTCTGCCTTTTGCTTTATATATATAGATAACTACCCATTTTTTCTTTTCTTAATTCTAAAAACTAAAACTAAAAACTAAAAACTAAAAAAAGAAAACCAATTGACAGGCGTGAGCGTGTGGCAAGGGGCTAGTATAAAGTAAATTCAAAATAAATAATAATAAAAACACCTATTGGTTTTTCTTTTAAACAAGCGATATTGAAGTAGGAGATAATCAAATCTAGAATCTCGGATGAAAGGGTAAATACTGTTAATCGCTTGAAATACAAATCCCCTTCAATCTCATCTATCAGATGTTGAAGTTTCTTGAAATCCTGGGATTCAACGTCAGCCTTTTTTCTTTTTTTTTGTAGTATTGAACTTGTGAGTCACTAACTGTCCATTAAACGCATGTCACATACAAGTGTGCTACCAAATAAATTCTTCTTCCCACAAAAGCAGAAAAGTCCAAACAGCATTCATCAATCTTAATGAGACTCCCTGGATTTATGCATGAACATTTGGACCCCACCACGCTGTTCAAGTTTGTGGGTCCAGATGGCAATTATAGATTGCTCATGGGGCTGTCAAGTGGCAATGACACATTGGCATATGCAATTTGCTCACTGAGTTGTTTGTTAGTGGTGGATCAATTAGATTGGGACTTAGGGTCTTTCGTTGTCCCTAACATTAAGGAAGATGATATGTCTTTGAGGGTCCCTTTCTGTATCGTGCAAGCCATTTTCAATTGAAGGAGCCAAAGAAGTGGTGAGCAATGAGCATTATTAGTGCTATGCCCAACCAAAGGCAGGAGACTACGTGACATGATTGCTGCTGCATGACACTTGGTCACTCTTTAGCTAGCTGGGCACTGCACTGCAAGGGAACCCAGCCAAAGACCAGATATGGGCCATGCTGTGAATGTGTTGTCCCCGCTTGTTGAAAAATGGAAACCGTTAGATGACGAGAATGAGGAATACTCTGGGATAGATTACAGCCTTCCCCTTACCCAGATGGTGAAGGGTTGGCAGGAAGCCGAAGGAAAGGACTCCAGTTATCTGGACCTAGAAGACAGCAAGGGCAGTATCCCAGCAAGGCCAACAGGGTTTGCAGAGTCTTTTACTTCTGCTGATGGCCGGTAAAGAAGTGTTTTTTCTGTTGCTTTTGTGTTTCATTTCACCTTCCTTTTTAGAGGTTGTTTTCCTTCTTTGGTAGGTGTAGATAGTATTGTTGTGTTCTCTGCTTGGGAATCAATGTCAATATGTTTTTGTGTTGTTGGTTTTGTGCTGGCTTGAGTTGAAGATTTCAGTAGAGATCTCAAGTGTAAGCTATGATACTTTCTGCATTAAGATTTTATGATTGCTGCTGCTGACACTTGGTCACTCTTTCATGTTTTACAGGTGGCACTGTCTGTTTAGTTTGGTCTTATTACCGAGGTAAAACTTACCATAAACACTGTACGTACGTGAGGAGACAGACAAACACGTGAAAATATACACTACTTTTTATTTATGTCTCTCTCTTAATTCTAAAGTTGCCTTCATTCTCAATCAGATCATGCAAACTGAAGAAGAAAAACTGGTCTATCACAGTTTCATAAAAAGAAATTACATGACGGACAAGTTTTTTTTGTTACTTAAAGGTAAATAATTCGAGACCTCATTCAACAAGAGAAAGTAGTGTTACGCGGGCAATCGACCATAACATTACTATCCCCCAAAAGGAACTTTTAGTAAATGAAATGAAAATTACAAGTTGCCTATTTCTAATCGGTGCTTATTATGTTTTCTTCCTCTTAATCCACCCAAAATTCATGTTCTCCATGAGAGTAAGTAATCCAGTGATAAAGAGAAAATATATCTCATCTTATCTCATCTTTATTTTTCGTTCACTCAGAAAGTAGGGAGTCCTACTTTCAGGAGGGAGAAGTATTTTCCAAGTTATATATGGCCTGAACCAGTTTGAGGTTGATGAAAAGGGAGCTTCTTGTCATCCCATTTTAAAACTAGTTCTCAGGTTGGTGTTCTCACCAAACAAATTTTTGTTGACTTATCAACAATTACAAGCCGGGAAGGAATAAATATAATCATACAGGGTCACATTGGTTCATTTGAGAATAAGATGAAGAAAAATTTGCTTATAATAGTTTTGTGTTGACATATTGGTTTGATCAAATTTCTATGGAGAAGGTTAGGTAGAGGGAATGAGGATAGATTGTTGCCTGATTGAGTTTAAAAAGCAAAAACAGATCCACATAGCTGATTTGGGTTTCAAGAACTATTTTAATGGAGGGTCTCTAGCCTAACCAATAAATGGAGAGGTACTCTTAGCCAAAACAAAAAAATAAATTATTGAATATGGTCAATAATTATATATATCTTATTTATATATATAGCAAGGTAGAGAATGGTGAAACATTCAAAATACCAGAAAATACCCTTGGTTAATTCAAACATTAAGAATTGAAATTATTAATTAAATGAGGATAATATGGTAACTTCACACTTTTTCATATTTTAAAAAAATTAAAATTATAAGCAAAATCAGATCATGAATCCTATTTTTATGAAAAACTAGCCTCTCCGCATGCGCTTCCGCGCTGCGAGAGACTTTTTATAAATAAAAAAAATTATTTTAGAATTAAAAAAAGATAATGGGTAGTTGTGTTCCTTAGAAGGAGGATCAATTATCTGATTTTTCTTTTAATTTTAAATTTTTTTAATATGAAAAAGTGTGAATTTACCATATTATCCTTATTTAATTAATAATTTCAATTCTTAATGTATGCATTAACTAAGGGCATTTTTTGGTATTTTGAATGTTACACCATTCTCTGCCTTTTGCTTTATATATATAGATAACTACCCATTTTTTCTTTTCTTAATTCTAAAAACTAAAACTAAAAACTAAAAACTAAAAAAAGAAAACCAATTGACAGGCGTGAGCGTGTGGCAAGGGGCTAGTATAAAGTAAATTCAAAATAAATAATAATAATGATAATAATAAAAACACCTATTGGTTTTTCTTTTAAACAAGCGATATTGAAGTAGGAGATAATCAAATCTAGAATCTCGGATGAAAGGGTAAATACTGTTAATCGCTTGAAATACAAATCCCCTTCAATCTCATCTATCAGATGTTGAAGTTTCTTGAAATCCTGGGATTCAACGTCAGCCTTTTTTCTTTTTTTTTGTAGTATTGAACTTGTGAGTCACTAACTGTCCATTAAACGCATGTCACATACAAGTGTGCTACCAAATAAATTCTTCTTCCCACAAAAGCAGAAAAGTCCAAACAGCATTCATCAATCTTAATGAGACTCCCTGGATTTATGCATGAACATTTGGACCCCACCACGCTGTTCAAGTTTGTGGGTCCAGATGGCAATTATAGATTGCTCATGGGGCTGTCAAGTGGCAATGACACATTGGCATATGCAATTTGCTCACTGAGTTGTTTGTTAGTGGCGGATCAATTAGATTGGGACTTTAGGGTCTTTCGTTGTCCCTAACATTAAGGAAGATGATATGTCTTTGAGGGTCCCTTTCTGTATCGTGCAAGCCATTTTCAATTGAAGGAGCCAAAGAAGTGGTGAGCATTATTAGTGCTATGCCCAACCAAAGGCAGGAGACTACGTGACATGATTGCTGCTGCATGACACTTGGTCACTCTTTCATGTTTTACAGGTGGCACTGTCTTGTTTAGTTTGGTCTTATTATCGAGGTAAAACTTACCATAAACGGGTAAACACTGTACGTACGTGAGGAGACAGACAAACACGTGAAAATATACACTACTTTTTATTTATGTCTCTCTCTTAATTCTAAAGTTGCCTTCATTCTCAATCAGATCATGCAAACTGAAGAAGAAAAACTGGTCTATCACAGTTTCATAAAAAGAAATTACATGACGGACAAGTTTTTTTTGTTACTTAAAGGTAAATAATTCGAGACCTCATTCAACAAGAGAAAGCAGTGTTATGCGGGCAATCGACCATAACATTACTATCCCCCAAAAGGAACTTTTAGTAAATGAAATGAAAATTACAAGTTGCCTATTTCTAATCGGTGCTTATTATGTTTTCTTCCTCTTAATCCACCCAAAATTCATGTTCTCCATGAGAGTAAGTAATCCAGTGATAAAGAGAAAATATATCTCATCTTATCTCATCTTTATTTTTCGTTCACTCTCTTCATAGTTTAACCACTATGACATTGGCATTCATAATGTTTTTAGTTTTTATTAAATTTAGTTTTTAATATTATAATAATTTTAAGACGACTTCTATTATAAATCAATTGACCAAAGATAGTCATTATACAATAACCCTAACTACTTTGGTTGGGGAGATTCTACCATGAGGGGGTTCGAGGTGTTCAATTCCGACCATTCAATCGTTAAAAAAGTTCAAGTCGAATATTTTTTCTCTCACGTTGGATAGTGGGATTAAACCCCTCCCACAACCCCTCATCAGCCACAACCTCTCATTATAGCATTTCCGCTTTAGGTTAACCTCACCTACCTCTCTGACTGTGAGTCAAAAGTTATTGACAGACTAGAAGCCCAAAAACCCTCTCGTTTCTATCTTCCTTTTTCTGCACAAAAGCCCAAAAGGTTCCTCATATAAATCAAAATCATCTTTTTTTCCAGAAGCACACCCTACACTTTTGGGCTAAACAACCCTCATCAAAATTATTATTTTTGCACCAGAACAGGTTCATCAAACTGCTTGTCATAATGCAAAAAATTTGTATTATGACAATTCTTCAAAACCCTACACACTTTAGAGGTAAAGAGAGAGAGAGAGAGAGAGAAAAAAAAAGAGATTGCGGAAATCTACTCTACTGCAGACGAGCTAGGCCAAAACCATACGAAATATAACAAATGCACACTTTTTACTCCATCCCCTGTATTTTACCATTGTAACTAATAAAACAGAAAGCTTTCAATCTGATCACAATGTGAAACTACAATCATATTAGATTCAAGGTGATTCATACAACTATTGCAATTAAAATCATAGAACAGCATGTAAGTTACTAAGTAGCATCCACCCTAGAAGGTTTGCATGCCTACCTGCTAAACAAAGAATCCCAGAACTTATGTACTAAATTCTCCTTTTTTTCTCCTAACAATAGAATTACAACAGAGATTTTTCTCAGATGTCAAAAACTAAAAGCATTTGGCATTGTTCTCGAAAGATGATCATATACGGGAATTCCACGAATTTTGTGTGGGCATTGCACACATCTTCTTCTACAAACAACATCTATTGCAACACCAGATATGGAATTTCCCGTTGCACAGCTGAGATTTATGCTGACTGACAATAAAAACACCTGATTCAAAGGAGGACGCATTCTAGTGAAATTTAACCAGGACACAATATATTAAAAAAAAAAAAACCAACTACACCTATCCTTTTCAGTGAATAACAGAATAATAAAAAAATAAAAAGGAAAAAGGAAGAAAGGCAGCATGGATACTTCACTTACAAAAAAGAAAAAAGAGAGAAGGAGGGGTCAAATAAAGTACAATTTCTAACCAGTGACCAAGATATTTCTCACGCACTACTGAAACATATGGTCAACTCACACAACATAATACTTAATTCTTGTACACTAGGTTAGCAAAAGTAAAAATAAAAAAATCTTGTGCTCCATTAAATTATTCAGAGAAAAGTGTAGATAAGGCATACAATTTAACATTCAAGATAAGTTTTTTGAATGACATGCTATTCTTTTTACCTGTCAACAGCGGAGATCATGATTCCTCTGAATAACAACCTACATGGTATGCCCTGGCAACATTTAAATTTGATGATATATTTGAAGCGGAGAACTGCTGGTAAGGACGATAAACGGGAGGTAACAGTAAAGCTGATTGTCGGTCCATTGATAGCAGCCGTCCACACTTACTGCACCAAATATATAAAGTTAATGACTCTGAAGCCAGTAAAGAATTGCAGATAGGTATACATGAGAAGGTTGTACCTGCAAACTTTTGTAAAGAGAGTTTGATAGCTGCAGATCCAATGCTATGGAATAGAAAGAGAAAGTTAGAACTTTAAATGTGTACAACATGATGCATGTGAATAACTTAATAATCCAGTGAGTTCTCATGAACATGCTAGAGATGGTACCAAAAGAGTATAGAGAGATGTTTCAGCTCGAACTCCAATAAAATACTGCAAAGCCATAGCAGCATGTTCCTGTAATAAGAAATGATAAGTGATTTAATAGAAAGGCCCATTATTTGAACCACAACAAACTTAAATGGATAATTAAAGGTTTTACCGTGATATGCTTATAGA